CACCTCCCCCAAGACAAGTCCCAAGGAAGAAAACATGGGCACGAGGGAGGTGAGCCCAGCCACTCTCAGTCTAAAGCACAAAAGTTCGCTCCCGCCGCCGTGAGGGAGGGAGCAAACGGGAACTGCTCCCCTAAGAGGTCTGGAAGCCAGACTGTCTTTGTGGAAATAATCTGGTGAAAGACAAGATAGTGACTAAATGCTCTCATTCTCAAAGATGCCTTAAAGACTTTGAAGATCAGTGCCTGTACAGTTCTTTCCTTGTCGCATAAATAACATTGGCCTCTTTCAGCCAACAGCACGTTTTCTGTAACCAAGGAGCCTTGAATTGGCAGGCTGCTGTGGCAGTGCCCTCCCAGTGCTGGCTGGACTCATGACCTATCTGATAGGGCGTGCTGTGGACACCAGTAGGGGGCAGTAGCTGGGGAGAAGCTGTGCAGGCACACATCTGGCTTGTCACCTTGACTTCCAAACCGTTCTGAATTGGTGGATGCTGGCATGGAATGCTGGCATCAGAGAGGACCATGGCGCTTATCAGCATTGTTTCTTTGGAGTCCATGTAATGGAATGTATTTTTCAAATAATTTGCATTTTCTGTAACAATTCCTAATAATAAAATGAGGTGCAATTATACATTCAAAGTCAAAATTTAATGAGATAGTTACTTCTAATACAAAAGTCAATACCCATGGAGGAAAACACCCATGAAACTTAACCAACGAACCCTCTTGACACATGAACAGATTTCCTTAACAACTACCTTCTAGGAAGGTCTGAGGAACAACTGACAGTCAAAACATTGCTGTTCAATGACCAGCTGCCTGGATATACAGTGCTCCTTGGCCTGGACAGTTAACAGCACTGTGTGTAGTCACTGTCACTCTCCAAATGACCCTAGAAATTCCCTCTTGGACATCATTATTTAGGAACAGCTCAAGGAGATCCATTTGAGGTGGGCTTTCTGATCTTGTGAAGGCACAGTGGGCTTCATCAACCATTGAATTAGAGCTGACTCAGCTCACCCTCCAGTGGGTTTTCTGAGGCTGTAGATCACATGGGAGAAGACTGCCCAGTGGCTGATAGATTCAGGCGGGCTGAGAAGCCACTCCTCGCAGACCACACCACCAGTGGAGTTTGCAAACTAAAACCAGGTGATCCAGAACACATGTGTACAAATAATACAACTCTTGTCATTTGCCTGGTACACTTTCCAGCATTTATGATTTCTCATTCTCCGGTGGCTCTTCTTTCACAGTTGATAATCACTGTTAAATGCTTCCACGTAGCCATCCTTTGAGCATACTGCTGTCACTAGCCATAATGTGGTGCTGACAGGAGCCAGTTGCTCTGTTACTGGCCATAACTTGTAGAATGTTGACTGATGCATTTTTGTCCAGTGAGGGGACAGCACTGGGTTTTAGTTAATTGCTAACTTAGTTTTAGTTACCTCATCCATTGAGGAGCAGACAGGATTGGGCACCTTTCTAATCCTTCTGCCTTTTGTGCTCTGTAAAATGGAGGAGACCATGGTCCTTCCCAGCTCCCAGGGCTGTCCTTCCTGTGTTCATATGCAGATTCTGGTGCACTGCCCAGGGTGCCCTGTGGTGGGGGCGCTGCCCAGCAATCTCTCCTGCCTTCTTTAGGCATTCTGGGCATCTTGCAGGAGGAAGTCCTCTCAGGAACAGGGCTCTCCGCCCAAGATCATCCTGCCCTCAGTGGCAAGACCTTGTCTGTTCTTGGGAATGGGGGCTCTGTCCTGTGTGTCTGCCTGTTTGTGGGGCCTAGCTTATCAGTAACAGCTTGTCCCAGGGTCAGGTGGGACTCCCAGGTCTGGAAGGGCTCCCCATGTTTTGCAGTCATGTGGTGGCTGAGTTAGAAGCACAATGTTGCAGATTCTAGATGCTTAGTTCTGTTTATAGGAAAATGGAATCTCAGAACTAAGGGTCAGATGATAAGATTTCCTTCAAGATGGTAAAGGATCCCAGCCCTCCCAACGTGGCTACCCCACTTTGCTTCAACACTGCTTACTGGTGTGGCAAAGCAGAGCTGGGTAAAACCTCGGCTGTCACATGACTACTTTAGCTATTAGAAGGAAAGAGCAGTACCTGATGTCCTCCACCCCACAGGGTCATAAAACAAAACCTCTCAGACTGGCACACATGCAATGAGGCCTTGGCAGAGTTGCCCAACATGGTAGTTTCCTTGTCCATCTTCCTCTACCAGCAAGTCTGATTGTGTGTTCAAAATGAGCCACACTCTGGCTTCCATGGTGAGGGACTGCTGTTCAGTTCTGCCCAGGACCATCTCTGCTGGAGAGAGGACAAAGCAGCATTTCTTCATAACCACCAGTCTCTTGTGTGACCTGACATGAGGAAGGCTCTTTACTGTAAAGCAGGCAGCACCAAAAAGGAAAGGGAATTTTCACCAGATGAACTATGCAGGTTTCTGTCTGCTGTGTTTTTCAGGAGTACAGGTTTAGGGGCCTCATATCAGTTAGTGGTCAGGTCCCTCTGAACTGGACTAGTATTTCACATTTCTTCCACCCCTTTTTGTAAGTGTCTGAGCATTTCTGATCCTGGCCTCTGTATTGTTTCTGTGTCCTTTCCCAGGAAGAGACTCTAGATGCTCTAAGCAGGGGTTATTCTTTCATACTATAAACGAGGTCAGGGACCCCAATTACTCCTGCCTCCCTTTGGCACAGTATGACTGGCACAGAGTAGGTACTTGCTACGTATTTGCTGAAGGAGAAAAAGAGGAACCAAAGCAGGGGTAGTGATTAGTTCCCAGTTAGTGTAGGGTCGAGGGCTGTTTCTGATTTGCAGAGATGCTACCAGGCACTGAAACCAAGGGTTGTGAAACATAACACAGCCCAAATGTTCACTCCCCTCGAGAACCTTCCCAGCTCCTGACTCAGTCTTCTGCCTCTCATTTCTGAATGTCTCTGCCCTCCCAGGAGCTGGGAAGGTTCTCGAGGCTCCGCTCTCTTTCAGTCACCTTGGACAAGCAACAAGTCTTAGAGCCTCTGCAGCTGCACCTGTAAGGTAGCAGGCTCTGCACCCTGACCCGATGCTCAGCACCATGTAAACTGAGGGTACAAAGCCAATGACTTTAGGGATCTGCAATCCAGTAAGTAAAGTTGGTAAGGAAATGAATGGGTAAAGTACACAGATAGTTATGCCATTTTGAGTTAACACAGGGTGCTAGGGAAGGTGCATCTCAGTCCAACTGACCGCTAGGGGCTGGGGGCTCCTCCCAAAGGCTCCCAGGAGAAGCTGCCTCAGCTGAATTTTGAAGAAATAAGAGGTGGACAAATTGGGGGGCGGGGGGAGAAGTGTTATTCCAGGTTGAAGGAAATGTATACATAACGCATGAGATGGCAGCTGAAGAGAGGGCATGTGGGAGGTGGTGGGTGAAATGGGCAGATGCACCGTGGAGGTGCCTCCTGTACCAGTCTGCTCAAGGGTTAGCCCTCCATCCTTTCTTCAGGAGGAAAAGCCACTGAGGCAGTGTTAAAGGAGTGCTGCGCCCATTAAAGATGACCTGGCGGCAGTGTGGTAGACAGCTGGAAGGAGTGAGACTGGAGGTCAGGTGTACAGATAGGCGCCTGCAGGACTTGGGTGGGAGATGGCAGCCTATGCTGGAGTTGAGAGAAGGGGATGGAGAGAAACGAGGTAGGGTTGCCAGGACTTGGAGAGTGGATATGAGGGAAGAGAGAGCAAAGAGGTTGCTGTGATCGTCCTTTGTGTGGACGGTGGTGTCAGTCACTGGAGAAGCTGGCAGGATCACAGAAAGTGAAAGAGCTGAGAAGGCAGGGAGGGACAGGAGAGGAGGACCGATGGGAAGGAGGGACAGGCAGTTAGAAGGGTGCTGTCACAGCAGGGGAGTACAACCAATGTCTAAAAACTGTGGATGAGTTAGAGTGCAAGATCAACTTCCTTTGTAAATGCACCCAAATCACGAGAGTTAAGAAGACAAAGAGAGGAGATGCCCAAGAAAGCCCCCTAGCTTGGAGAGCAGGGTTGGCAGGGTAAGTGAGGAGTACTGAGGAGGGGGCAGCTTTCTTGCTGACTGAAAAGCAATGAGCAGAGGGACAAATAGGAAATTAGAAACAGTCTTACTAGGGCAGGCTTTCATGGAGGACAGCATGGCCAACAGGTTCAAAGGTGCATGTAGATAAGAGCTGAATGTGACCCCACTGATAAGTAATTTATCCTCTTAAGAGTAAAGGGCTATGCTGCATGGTGAATGGGGGGGAAAAGAAAAGACCGCAAAGGCAGCTTTCTCAAGATGCTTGGTTGTGGTAGGAAGTGGTCAGGATAGCTACAGAAGACTGCGGTGTTGGGATGTCATTTACAACGTAAGGGAAAATGACCATGCCACTGGGCTGAGAGGCAGGGAGGTGTAAGGAGGGGCAGATAAGGAAGATACAGGGCTGAAAGGGGAGCCAAGAGCCAACCTAGGTGTAAGAACCTGTTAGGGCCACCAGGACATTAATGACAATGGAGTGTTGAGAGTAATAGTTGAGGTGAAGCCTGAGGGGATCCAGGGCACAGCTACACTGACCTTGCCTAATTTGTATGGCTTTTGGGGACTGTGTCCGCTCAGTTATCTGGGGATTAAAGAATCTCTTTGCCAGAGCCCAGATGCCTTGAAGGGCTGAGTGACAAGCAGGCAGCCCTGAGGCCCGTGGAAATGCAGTGACTGGAACCCAGAGTCCTTTTGCTTGTATTTCCAGTTATTTTTTTCGGGTTGGTCTTCATTGTTCTGGTTCTGAAGGAAGATGACCCATGAGTCTGAAAACCAAGCTGACCAGTACCACAGCAGCAAGCCACTGTAGTCTGGCCTCGGGCATTAGAATGATGAGGGGAGGTGAGTCACACTGAGAGTATGAGCCAGAGTCCTTCTAGGCTTGTCTCCTGTCAAGAGCCTTCCTTGGGAATGAAGAGCCTATTTGGATTTGAGGCTGATTTCCCCATGTATCCCCAACATAATAGGACGATAGTTTAGGGTGGGAAGGAACATGTGGTGGCTAGGGGTGGACAGTCTGTGTACTCCTCCAAGTTGGGGTGGTCCAAGTCCCCACGATCTTGGTGTGCAGCATTGTCCAGTGATTGGTCACTGGGGGGGCCGGCTGTCCTCACGCACACACACTGGGGCTCCTTGGCACCTGGCTTATACAGCTTCCTGGGGACGCCAATCCAGTCTCTGTTCACACCTCCACTGAGGATAGAAGGAAAGAGGGCTTCTTAGCAAGCATGAAGTCATTGGTCATTCTGAGAAGAGGATGGGAGGAAGCCCTGAAACAAGCCTGTCAACAGCAACAGCCATTCTGCTTCCCATCCTAGGGTTTTCTCAGGGCAGCGGTCTGCACTGCTCCATTCCTGAGCCTTTACACTCTCTTTAACGTGTCCAGCGGCCTCTGCACAGTGTCCTTTTCCAGGTAAGGAGCAGAGCTCAGTGATCCTTTCACTGAACACCCCAGGCCCCTGCCCTGTATTTCCTGGGAAGCAGAGCCATTAACCTGCAGTGATGATAAGGCTGCAACAGTTCTCCCACCCTCAAGCCTACTGACTTCTCAAAAGCACTGGTTAGACCAGAGTCTCTTCTTTCCCTGCTCTGCCCCAGGCCTGGCCTGGGGTATAGCAGCAGACTGTCCTGCCCCCTGCAGACTTTTCAGTCCTTGACGTTGCCACGTTTCGGAGGGGGAGGATTCTGCTCTGGCCCAGAATAGCTTGAGCAGCTGCCTAATCCTGAACCCATCATAGGGTGCTGAGTTCAGTCTCCCATGATTTCAGAAGCCTTGTAAAAGGAAGACCAGATTCTTGGAATTGATGCCCCATATAATAATATCCAGCTAGGACCAAGATCACTTGTCAGAGAAACTCTTCGAGATCATCCCACTTAGGAGTTTACCAAGAGCAGGGCTGTCCCTGCAGCTCCTAACTCTGCGCTATGAACTGCATCACACCTGCTCTCTGCCGCCTCCAGGCATCACTTCTCCTAGACTACTGGGAGATACACATAAGTGGGAAATAACAAATTGGGCTGAAGCACAGGAAAGGGACAGGATCATTAAGCTCACTGGAGACGGGTTTATAAGGGCTTTATGGGGCAGGCAGAGCATGTGCCACTCAGTCACTCAGTCATTCAAACAGACGTGAGGGCTGTAAGGGAAGGAGAGGGGTGTGTGCTCCCCTAGGGAGCAGAGGCAAGCTTCTGAATGCACAGGTCCCTGGTGCTGCTCAGCCCATCTGTGTTTGGACTTGTTTCCTAGCAAGGCCCCATCTGTCCTAGAGCCTCTCAGAGGCCAGGCCAGGTTCTCACATACCTAGCCTGTTCCCGAGGCATAATGGCACTGAAGAAGCTATTGACAAAGCTGGTGAGCCAGGAGAGAAGGTTTTTTTCTTCCCGCTAGTGTCACCTATGCTCCCCTGAGTTAAAGGGGTGGTAATGTGTGATGGATACGGTAGCTGGGCCTAGAAAAAGCAAGTAGTCTTGGCTGTTTGTTCTTGTCCATACAATGAATGAACTTGAAGGAAAAGTAACAAGGTTAAGGCCTATCCTAGCTTAAACATGTGGGTCTACAGTTTAGCAGTTATAGAGAAGGCCTTTCTCTTTAGCATGAGCAGATTTCCCTTTTCTTAGCAGTGAGAACGGAGCTATCTGAAGCCCTTGAAGCCAGCGATGCTTGTCCAGTTTCTGCCTTCGGTCATTCCTTTCCCAGAGCTAACAGAGACAGGAGGAAGTCAAGGTGCAACTCATAGGCCGGGCTGGCCTCATGATTAAAACAGTAATATAGATACTTTATTTTCTCGACTTCCCAAACTAACTGGAATAATTCTCATGGTGTCATTTCTAATCTGACTAACCTAATTTTCTTTTTAGAGGAGAGGACTCATGCATCTAGCCTCTCCCTCAGGCAACTTGGTGGCCCATAGAAGTGCCAGTCTGTAAAATTTGGCTCTGGCCATCACTGGAAGTGACAGCCCCTTCCCCTCAATCCCCAGCTGCCTCTGGGACAGCAGGAATGGTCTGTGTTGACAAGTAGACCGAAGTCCTCTGAAAAACAGTACTTATGTCTTGTTCCCAGACCAGGTCAGCAGAAGCTTTGGGTAATGAAATATATATGACATATAAGATCCTAAAGTCTCAACCTAAATATTCTCCTTCAAGTGTCTGGAGTGAGGTCCCCATCAGTAATTTTTTTTTAATTCCCCAGAAGATTCTAATATGCAGGTCAAGCTAAGAACAACTATCCTAGAGCATCCTAGAGTATGAATTTTGAGAAAGCTGTCCTGGTTAACAGCTGTGGCTACACTGAGTAACACAGTGAACATATCTTGGGAGGACCAATAGCCTGACTTGAAAGAGTGGAGAGGGACAAAGGGGAGCCTGCTTACCTCTTTGGGGAACACCAGAACCGGGTTCCCCTGGTTGAGCTCCACTCAGAGTTGCACGGTGGGAACTTCTGCTTCTCTTTCATTTCCTGTTTACTTGCTTCCAAGCCTTTGGTAATCATGGCTTCCACCAGGGTCAGTGCTGGAGTTGGGAGCCCATCCTTTCCATAGAACCTTCCTGTCACCTTTCCTGTGGTGACAGGAAAGGGTAACAGTGGGAGGGAAACATGAAAGATACTTAAACAGTGGCTGTGAAGCTCAAAGACCCAGAGTTTTTACTCCCCATTCACCCCAGGCTCTGAGACAGCCTATTAAGATTTTTGTATTGGAGGGACTGTGGTGCCTTCCGTTCAGCTTCTCTCAACATCTTACAAGATACCACACGGAAGCGTCCCTATTCTAGTTGTAGAGTCCCTCCCATATGGAAATGCCAGAATCCGTCTGGCTTCAGATATTGGTACCCTGGGGGTGGAGCCATGAGTGATTAATTTCTCAACACATCACAGTGCTTGGGGCACACGGTAGGTATTCAGAAAATCCATGATGAATGAGTGACTTAATTGGCTAACATTGTGGGGCTCAATTCTTCCCAATGCTGAATTCTTTTGTCTTCTATAAATAAGTCATTTCTTGAGCATTCACTATTGCCATGCACTATGCCATCATTTTAACAAATGTTTTGAAAACTCATCAGAATAGTTTTATGTCAGAGAAGTCATTGTTCCATACCACAGAGACTGGAAACTGAGTGGCCTGGGGACGTCTGTGATATCAAGCAGCAGGTGGAGTTCCTTTTTCTCTTCTGGCTCAGGCAACCTATGGACACTGGTTTAATTTACATTTGCTTTTCCCTCCCTCATCATAACCCTGCCAGAATGTTTCAAGCTACAGCGAAAATGAGATTGGCTCTCCTCTGGCCCAGGGACCCCCTGCCTTCGAGTCCTGAGGTACAGCTGGCCTTCCCAGGGAGGATGGCAGTGAAGGAGCAGCAGCTGAAAGCACCTGTGGGGGCATTCCGCTCCCGCGCTCCACAGCCTCTAAAAAATTCTAAATGGCTCCCTGGCTCCGCATGTTCTTCCTTTCAGGTTCTACTTCCTATGCAAACTTTCCTGATTATATTTATGCCACGTCTGGCCTCTGTTGGTTAGGACAGCCTTGGATCTAACTCCTCCAAATCTAACCTCTTAAAAATGAACGATTCTTGTCAGCCTTGCCTTTGAAACATATCTTGATTCTGCCTATCCCTTCCTATTTCCACGGCTGCCACATTCCACCGGCCCATGGACTTCTCCCAGGAGTCCCATCTGCTAGCTCTGCTTCAATTCCCACCTTCCTATGGGCCCTTCTTCACAAATCAGCCAGAAGGATTTATTAAAGCATGACTCACCTCTCCACCTGAGTAAAACCTTCTGAGGATTGCCTGAAACACTTGGGTAAAATGCAAACCATCAAGGGCACCAAGGCTTAAAAGACTAGACTTCGGCCTGCTTCTTCAACCTCTTGATATGCCCCTGCCTCCATTGCTGACAGCGGGCTTCAGCACACTGGCTACTTCAGGCACCACTGTTTCCTCTGCCTCGGGTACTTTCCCCTGCACGACTGGCTCCCTCTCACTATCCAGATTCTCAGCTTAACTGCCACCTCCTCCAAGAAACCACTCTGAAAGTGTGTCGCCTCTCCAGCCCTCACACACATCAGTTTTCTCTCAAGCACAACCCTTGCTGGAATCATCTGACCTTTTTACTTCTTTGCCTCTTTTCACCAGTGAGGCCCCAGAACTCAAAACTGCTTTAGTGCCAAGTATTTATTTAAAATACTTCCTAAATGCATAAATGAACAGATCAAGGCCCTAGTCACAGGCTTGCATGGGATGTTACACTACACAGGTGCTTTGTCTTGTTCAGGAGGATCCCTGCTCTGGCAAGTATTAGACATGAGACCCAAAGAGGAGAGTGGTGGTAGAGACAAAAAAGGCCCTAGAAGCCACCATTAGAAGGATGGTCATTGTCAGGGTCCCCAAACAAAAGGCAGTGTGGTATCTACTGCGGATTAGCCATGTGGCCACAGAGACAACTTCTTGGATGTCTTCACTTCAGTGGGAACCCTTACTATAAACCAACATCCCTGACATGTCCTCAGGGTTTTCTGCTACAAAATAACAGATGGCAGGAATGTATCCAACTCACCTTGGAGTCCTTAAGGACCAGAACTGTACTTAATCATAGTAGAAACAGAAATACATCCTGACCGAGCATGGCACCACACAGCTCTCCAGTAATAACGGGTCAAGTGAAGCTAATTCACTCATCTCACCAAATGGCAGGAACATGCTATTTCACTCTGTGGTAAGTGTTTCGTCAGACATCCTTCGCCCACTCACAGGACTCCAGTCTTCCTGAGCTTTCTTTTCCTTATTAATCCAGTAATGCTTCAGTCGTGGTGTGTCAACCTCAAAGGGACCAGGGTGAATACCAAGCCCTCTGAGGGCAGATAGATGGATGGAGAGCACACATGGTTGTCGCACTGAGAAGTGACCTGGGAGAGACTGGTTGAAAACCAGGAAAAGGGAAAAGTGTGCTGCTAGCTGTGGTGACAAGGTCAACAATGCATAGGTGTGTAAACAGAAAACCATAACCTTAAAATATTTTGAAAAATTGTGGACCACTTGGATGTGGAGGGAGAGAGACTTGTTAAAAAGGCCAAGGGCCTTAGAAAAGGTAATTTAAGTTGGGATGACAGAAACATACAGGGGTGTTAAAGTGAATGAGAGCATTTAGGGCTCTTCCTCTGGGGATGTGACAGTGATGCTCCATGGGGAGTCAGACATGCGCTAGGTCTGAGCAGGGCTCCGGAGAGAGCTCAACGCCACGGGGAAATGAAAAGGGCCCAACCCATCGTTTAGTGTTTGCGAAGCAATCTATAGCTAACATTTCTTTACCGCAGTGTTAGGTGTCTTCCAGTGTCAAACTTCTTTCTGTTTTAACAGTAAGTAACAAGTACAGTGCCCCAAAGAACTGACTTCAACAAATGTTTCTTTACTATCACTGTCTTCCACCAGGGAGACAATCAATTGTGGATGGACAGGCATTCATTTTTGTCTCCCTGAGAACAAAAGAAAAGGAAATCTGTCAGAATTGCACATAAATTTAGTTTCCAGTCTTGGCTAAGTGATGAAGGCAGATGTGTGCTTCACAGCCAGGGCAGCTGCCCCCAAAGTAGGCAGTTCACGGATGGTACAGGCAGAGGCCAGAAAAATAGCACTCGCCTCCCGAGAAAAGGAGTGAGAGGAAAGGGGGTCTCATCTGCCCCCTTCTGAGGCTCACTGCTACATTACGACCAGAATTACAGGTGAGAAGTGAGAATTTAGTTCATAGCTGTTTCTCATATTTTAACCTTGAGAGCTTAATCTTCAAAGAGTCCTAAGACTTTTCATAAAATCTCTAGAAATGACTCATGGAATACTTACCAACAAATTCATAATTCTTCTCATAAAAAGAAAGCCAGTTTTGAAGCGTCAGCATATCAGAAAATGACAAGTCAGATACATCATCCACCAGGCCGGCTTCAGAGTAATCCCCAGTCACAAACGCTCTGGATGCATCTCGCCCTGGAGAGAAATTTCCAGCAGATTAGGTTATAAGGCTCCAACGAAAACCCTCTTTCAAGGGAGCTCTGGTGGCCTAGTGACAAGAAGCTGCACTATAATCCCAGAGGCAGGTAGTTCAAATCCACCAGATGCTCTGCTGGAAAAGGTGGGGCAATCTCTTCCTGTATCGGTCAAATCCAATTTGACAGTACACACAGAAAAAATAGTAAAAGAAATTTTTTTTAAAAAAAGAAAACCCTCTTTGCTGGGAGAAGTCAAGTCTATTCCAGTTCACAGTGACTCTCCACTGAGTTTCCCAGACTGTCAATCTAAATGGGAGGAGACTGCCTGTCTTTCTCCAGAGGAGCCCTGGTGGGTTTGAGAACATGACCTTTTGGTTAACAATGTGACTCCACTATCAGGGAAAGCTAATCCTTCCTCTTCTGTGGCAGATGCTTCTGGACCTGGGACACTTATCTCTAGCATCTGTCAGATTCTACTCTTTATTCTCTGCAATTTGTAACACAACTGACAGCTTCCATTGGCTACCATAACACTGTACTATTTTCCTCCCACCTCACTGGCATTGTCATTAATTTCTTATTCACCTGCTCAGCTCTGTATCAAGAGCCTTGCTAATGCTAAAGGTTGGCAGTTCAAACAAGTGTGGAAAATATGTGGCAGTCTGCTTCAGTAAAGATTTATAGTCTTAGAAACTCTATGGATAGTCCTACTCTGTCCTGTTGGGTCCCTATGAGACAATCAACTTGACATGGGCCCTAGATTAGACTGCTCTGCTCTAGCCACAGCCTCTTGACAATCTCATCCACTCCCGTGGTTTCAAATACCACTTCGAGAACAAGAATGCCAGACCTATACATCTGTCACTCAGTATCACTTAGATGGCTTACTACTCAACTCACTAATGTCAAATGGATGCCAACTCATCGCAACCATCCATGAGGTTGTCAATTTTTTTTAAATTCCTTGTTACATATTTTCTCTCTCCCCTCCACAACAGCCCACCTCACAATGAACACCTTGTTCCAGATTGTTTGTCATACACACAATGCCTAATCATATATTCCTTTCGGATTGTTCTCATCTGTTCTATTGCAGTGTTCATGATCTATCCACTCTTTTCCCATTGTCTGCCCAGCTGAAGTTGTAAATCTTCATGGGAGGAAACTTTTGCCTGTTTCTCACAGAACAGCAGAGAGATTTGAACCACTGGAGACACAGCCACCAGAGCTCTGATGTCTTACTGATATCACAGATTTGAAATGTCCACACTGAATTAACGGTCACCAGTGCCCCACCCTCAGGAAATGTGCATCTACATTAGTTACTAAGTGCTGTCCAACTGCCCAGCCCAGAATCGCCAGTCCTTGACACATTCTTTATCCTCCAGCCTTTCCATGATCAAGTCCTCTACTTTCTTCCTGTTTTTATGCTAATCATTGCTGCCTTCTGTCCCTGCTACCAGTAGCCATTTGAACTGCTACAGTAGGCTCTTAATGAGTCTCCTCACATTCACTCTTGCTCCAGTAATCTACTCTCCATATAATATTCAGGCTGCTTTTTGAAAAAAAAGCATAACGAAAAAGAAGACAAAGAGAAGCACACAACTACAGGCAACAGCAGACAGGACAGAGGAAATGACAGGAAAGGACAGGCGAACAGGACTAGACCCATGACTACACGGGTTTGACAGGTATTTCTACATTCATATTGCTGATCTTATGTTGCCTATTGGTCTAGTGATCATGATTATATGCTGTGGAGTCAAGTACAATTCAGAGTGACCCTATGAACAACTTTATCCTGTCCTCCTCATCTCTGACATATTTGAGCCCTCTGCTGCAGTGTCTTTGTCAATTCGTCTCGTTGAGGGTGTCTTTTTCACGGATTCTCCATCTTTCCAATCATGATGTCCCTTTCCAAAGACAAACCCCTCCTACCCACATGCCCAAAGTATGAGACATATGGTAGTATTCAGTAAATAGACACACACAATTAATTTGGGCACATAGGAACTCTGGAGACCCAGGAGCGTGTTGCAAAAGAAAATCACCTCTGAAATGCAAAGTTTTACTCTTGTGCATACAGTCAAAGCCGCTAAATCAGCAGGTGGTGGGAAGGAAAAAATCACTACCATTTTGTTGAATCCAACTCACAACAATCCTATTTGACAGTGTGAATCACAACATATTTATGGCTAATCTTGAAAATCCCAGAACACTTGACAGTGTGCTCATGTTAAACCTATACTTGGACTGGGAAGCAGTGCTCAGAAGAGAGCAAGGAAACACAGCATGTTTCAAAATCAGGAAAGGAGTGCATCAGGGATGCATCCTGTCTCCAAACCTTTTCAATCTACATACAGTTCAGATCATTCAGGAGGATGGGCTTTATGAAGAGGAATGTGGCATCAGGATTAGTGGAAGTCTCATCAACAACCTACGTTATGCGAATGACACAACCTTCCTTGCTGAAATTGAGGAAGACCTGAAGTGCTTGCTGCAGAAGGTCAAGGACTTCAATATGGATTGAAGTTCAGCATCAAGAAAAGAGATTCTCACTAGGCCAACTGACAGCACCAAGATGGATGGAGAAGAGATTGAGGTTAATAATTTCAGCTTGCTTGGCTCCATAATCAATACTCTTGGTACCAGTAGTTAGGAAATCCAGAGATGAATTGCATTAGGGAAATGTGCTGTCAGGGACAGCTACAAAAGGCTAAAAACCAACAGTGTCAGTCTGGAGACTAAGCTGTGCCTGATTCAGGCAGGCCATAATCTTCAGAATTACTTGCTAGGCATCAGAGCAGGACAGTGACTAAGGATGACAGGAGAGCAACTGATGCCTTTGAGTTGTAGTGCTGGAGAAGACTACTAAACTAGAAGAAGATCATTAACAACATGTGTTATACAGATGACACAATCTTGCTTTCTGAAAGTGAGAACTTGAATCCCTGCTCATCAAGCACTACAGCTTTCAACATGGATTGCATCTCAACATCCATAAACAAAACCAAAATCCTTATCACCAGGCCAATAGGCACCATTATGGCAGACTGGAAAAGGACTGAAGTTGTTAATGACTTCGTCTCAGATCCACAATCAATACCCTTAGCATCAGGAGTCAGGAAATCAAAAGACAAGCTGCACTGGGAAAAGCAGCTGTCAAAGACCTTAGCCAGAGTGCTAATGAGCAATGATGCCAGTCTAAAGACTAAGATTTTCTCAATTGTTTGCTAAGCATCAGAAAGCTGGATCATGAATAAAGATATCTTTTTGTAGTTGTTGTGCTGGAGATGCACACCATGGACTGCCAGGAGAAGTGCCAATAGCAGCTTCTAATTCTCCTATGATTATGACTAGTGGAAAGTGTATGCTTAATACCAGCCTGGCCTAGTCACTAGCCCTAAGCCTGCTGTTTTGTTTTTAAAACTGGAGAGTGATCAATTCTCCCTGCCCCCAGGTTTGTCAGTCAACATCTTAAAGCTGTAGATTGCTCCTGGTTAGTTCAAGCAGTGGAAGAGAGTAGTACTTTAGGGAAATAACACTCTTCACTTTTAGTTGTAAAATAGAGCCAGCAGAATGACCTTGTGTTATTTAGAAAGGCAACATATCATGTGGTTGATCAGACCTTGTAATTAATTACAATAGTTGTCATTAATGTTCTAAAACAAAATGTGAATGAATAAAAAGCCAATATAATTTGTAAACTTCCATTCAGATGAAAAAGGAAAAAAATACCACCCAAAGTTAATATAAATGGAAACCTGGGGGTAGGAGTGCCGAGGGAACAACTTTCATTGGACAGAGATTCTTACAGGCCTAATATGCAGGCTTTTTGTGCTAAGTATACAGGGACTGAAGAAGTGACCGGTCCATGCAGCTAACTTCACAATCCTTTCTTTTTAAGGACGGCAAATGAATCCATCAGTACCAGGAGCAAGAACGATTCAATAAAATGTCTTGGTTTTTAGAGGGAGAAGCTCTGAGTAGGGGGTGAGGGAGGGTAGCTATTTCGGATCGAGAAATAGTTAAAAGAAATACGATGAATGAGTAGGCGAGCTGTGAAGGCAGCGTTTCCTTCTTTTCTGTGCTGAGAGAGCCCTCCAAAAGTCTGACACCCAGCAGGCATCCGACAATGGAAAGGTAGCCACGAAGAGGCACGACTCAGAGGCATGCTTCTCGAAGTCATGCTGTGCGGAGGGAAAGGACACGGTGGAGGCCAGTTACCACAATGACTAATTCTACCGGAGCACGCGACCAGGAGGATGGTGCTGCTGAGGCCAGCAGACGTGCTGGTCTGATGAATGTGTAGTGGGACAGCAGATGAACAAATGAATGAATGCACACAACGCGCTGGCAGGGAATGACCCACGGCAAGGCAAGGACAGCCTCCTTGATACCTGCGAAGCCGCTATAGTGGGCCCCAGGCTCGTAGTGTCTCCGGCTAGAGGACACATCGTAGACGCGACCGAGCAACGCCAAATAGAGGCCCGGGTCCCCCGGGCCTCCGCGGTAGCGAGCCAGCTCCTCGGGAATGAAGAGGCGGAAGCCAGGGCGGGGACGCCACCAGCCCATCAACCACGCTGCCACCATTGCCGTGGCCGCTACGGCCAGGCCCAGCAAGAGCTCCCGCTGGCGTACCCTCAGCATTGAAACAGGTGCACCTCGCCCGCACTTACGAAGTTGCCGCTTCTCAAACCACAGCTAAGATGGCGGGGACGTCGACCGTGACGTCAGCAGAGTGACGCTCCAGCGCCCTTGTCCTCCCGTCACTGAGGGGTCAGCGGAGGGTTTGGAGGAAGATGTCTTGAGCGAAAAGTTTACGTTCCCAATACTTTACCGACTTTGGTTTATTTTAATAGCAAAGCTTATGACTGTGGAGGGATTTTGAGAACGCTGAGCAATGAAAGACGGTCTTGAAAGTTGTCTGCCCCCAACAAAAATGGTGGCAAAGGAGGCTGCGGGATGACGCTAACGTTATGATAGACACACCCACTTGGGAATTTGGGTTCCACCCTTTGCTACAGCTCCCTGAGCCTGGCTGTCGGTGGGTTTGTCGAGTCCGCTTGACGGCGCCTTTGCGACAGCACCGCTCACTTGACGGCGAGGAAGCCGGAAGCCGCCGCCGCCGTCCCCTCTCCGTCCCCGCCCGCCCGGTGCCGTCGGAGGTTGACAGGTCGAGGCGGGGAGGCGGCGGCGGCGGCGGCAGCAAAGCCGAGCGCCCAAGACGGAGTCCCCATGGGGAACGCTCCGAGTCACAGCAGTGAAGACGAAGCGGCAGCCGCCGGGGGCGAAGCCTGGAGTCCGCATCAGGACTGGGCCACGGACTCGGGCACGACCCTCGGCCCGGGCTCTGCGGCTCCCGTGCTGCCGCCCGCTGCGGCGCTGTTGGAACCGGCCCGACTGCGAGAAGCGGCGGCTGCGCTGCGGCCCGCGCCGCCCTGTGAATCGCTGGTGTCCAGGCACCAAGGCACGCTGATGCGCTGGCTGGAAGAGCGCCTGGGCCGCGGAGAGGAGTCCGTCACCCTGGAACAGTTCCGGGAGCTGCTGGAAGCTCGTGGCGCCTGCTGCTCGGGAGAGCAGTTCGAGGAGGTCAGGGCTGGCTGCGGGGCGGGGAGGGAACAGCCGCCCCCACAGGAAGTGATTAGCAGGGGCTTTGGAAAAGCTAGGCAGAAAGAAACCCAGAGGGTCTGCAGGTTCCAGCAGTGGAAGCTAGGGGTGCCGGAACTCACGTGGGGCTCGATTGCTTGTCTTTCAAACCTTTATTGGAGATCTAGAAAGCCAGAACTAGGCCGGTCTTAATCTGAAGAGCTAGACAAGCCGTCTTTGCAAGTTGTAGTACAGTCATTTGTACGGTTGGCTGGCGCTAGATCAGCTGCTCTCTAGAGCTTCCTTATCAGGGTCCAGGGCAGTTCTAGGGGCTGAAGGAGTGGCATTGAAAACGAGCTGTGTTATTGGCTAATGAAATCTTCCAGAGTACCTTCTTAGTACTACTGTGGGCGCCTAGTAAATGTATAGGAAGAGTCATTACACCAAAACTAGCATTTGTTCTTAGATCCTCTAACAATCATATTTTAAACGCAATAAAATATCCACAAAGGAGCCCTGGTGATGCAGTGGTTAAAGAGATCATTGCTGGAAAAAAGGTCACTGGTTCCAATCTACCAGTCATTCAGCGAGTGGGAGAGGAATGTGGCAGACTACTTCTGTAGATTTACAGCCTTGGGAATCCTATGGGACAATTCCACTTAGTCCTTCCTGTAGGGTCACCTTGAGTCATTATCAGCTAAAGCAGGAGGTTTGATTTGGAAACCTGCACAGTTCCTAAAGTTGAAGGCGAATATTGGGTTTTCTGTGAATCTTTTTAACTGCAGGTTTGGTGTAATCTCAAGCATTATTTAAAAGTATCGAAGACTTTCGTTCATAGGGTCGCTGTGAGTCGCCTACAACTCGATGACACTCAACAACAACAAACATTAATAGTAAATTTATTTAGCAACAAACATTACCCTTGGAAGGAATCTTCAGAATTGCTTGTATGGAACACATCATTTTAGGTTTAGAGATTTATTCAGAGTTACTCAGAATCGTTGGCAGAACTAAGACTATTGCCCAATCTCTTGACTATTTTTTTTTTCTACTTCTCTCACTACCTCCAATCTAGGGAGCTTGGGTGCTCAATTGGTAAGGAGCGGTGCTGCCAACTCAAAGAAACGTAGTTAGAATCTACCAGCTGCTCCTCTGGAGAAAGATGGGCAGTCTCCTCCCATGTGATTTACTGCCTCTGAAAACCTGTTGGAGGGTCAGCTATGAGTCGGTTCTGACTCAATGGTACAACCACCATATCCAAAGTAGAAAACTATAGGTGCAGTTCTACTCTGTTATATAGGGTCACTATGAGAGGAAGAGGGCACTTTGGTGGCTTAGTGGTAAGGAGACGTGCTGCCAACCCAAAGGCATGGAGTTCGAATGGGCAGTCACCTTGTATGTGATTTACTGCTGCTGAAAACTCACAGTGGGTCAGTTCTCACATAACAACGATAAAAAATGTGAGAAGAAAACCATCAAGGAGGTGGGTTGACACAGTGACTACAGAAATGGATTTAAACACAGCAGAAATTGTGAGGAGTGGAGTAGGATTGGGCGTGGATTTATGCTGTTGTGTATAGAGGGCATCTGTCTGAGTTAGCACTGGCTAGAGGGCATCTAACAATAAGTGTTAAGTCAGAATCACCTTAACAACACAGGACAGCAAGCACACCTCATTCTTGGGACTTTTTAAAAAGCTTCCACTCAACACACACAAAAAGTTCTTTATTTATGAGATTAAGTGAGGCAGGTAGAATCTCTTCATCTTAAATGGTGAGTATGTAGAGCAGTAAACCAACAGATATTTGTAGTGTTTTTAAAAAGTATTTAAATCTGGAGGCTTCCAAAATGTTTTAAGAATATTTTCCCTGTATGTTGTACTTAAAAAAAAAGAATATTTTCCCATTTATAGGCATAACTCAAATAATGTACTTTGTGGATTTTTTTTGTTTTCCTTTAAAAGTATCTTTTTTAAAAAACTTTATTAGAGTGTGTGTGTGTGTGCGCGCGCGCGCCGTCAGAGCAATCTGACTAGTATAGGAGGAGATTGTCCCTCCTTCTCAGCAGAACATCTGGTGGATTTGAACCGTGCACCTCAGGGACTGCAGTACAGCTTCTTGCCACTAGGCCACCAGAGCTCGCCATCTTTTTTTTTTTATTATTGTATTATTTTTCCGTGCACCATCAAATCAGATCTGACTGGTACAGGAGAAGATTGCCCCCTCCTTCTCCAGCAGAGCATCTGGTGGATTTGAACCGCATACCTCTGGGATTGCAGTGCAGTGTCTTGCCACTAGGTCACCAGAGCTCCCTCTAAAAGTATCTTTAAGGCATCTTAAGTCTTGTAAGTATTGGTTATATTAGTGGCTTTTTAAAAAAAATAAATAAGATCAAGAAATCTTCAAGGTGTGGTTCAAGAATCATTCAAGGACTATGGCATTCTTTTGCTCATTGGGCAAATATTTGCAGAGCATATTGAGTGCCAAACACTTGGAAGATAGGGAGGGAAATAAGGTATATGTTTTTAAATAGGATGACATGTGTGGTAAAGACAGACCTCTTCCTATTACCTGATCTAAGGGGTCTAGGAAAGAATACTGACAGGAGTCAAGGAAGCATTTAGCTATTCACTGAAAGGTTAATGGTTCAAATCCACCCAAATGCACCTCGGAAGAAAAGTCTAGTGATCTGCTCCAAAAGATGACAGCCACTGGAAACCCTCCCAGAGGAGTGGAGTTCTCTTCTGACACATGAACGGTCACCATGACTCGGAAACAACTCACTGGCAACTGTTATTATATTTTAAGGCGTCAAGGAAGCCTTAGAAAGTGACATTTTAGGTCAGATTTAAAGGGTGAAAGTTAGCAGAAGTGGTAGCAGTATTGTAAGCAGAGGAGCTCACAGACATTATATACACAGAGAGTGTAGAAGTCTCTGGAAAGTCTATGTAATGTGTTGGGTTAGTTTAAACTGCCTGGAGGGATAGAAAAGCCACTGTATCAGTGAAGAGGATTCTTTCTTTTTATATGTGAATGTCCAGGTAGACATTTCAGGGTTTATAAGGCAGTTTGATAATTCTCGGAGACCTAGGCTTTTCATCTGTCTTGTACGGCCTTCAACTTAAGTACAAAAGACTGCTCCAGCCATTGCTTTCCACATTCTAACCCTAAGAAATGAAAGGATAGGGCTGCACCTTCTCTCTTAAAAGCATGACTTACATCCCATTGACTTGAACTTACTCAAATGGTCATACTTGTCAGCAATAGAGGCAGGGTCAGATCTTTATTTTGTGGATGTGTATACAGGTGAAAGTCAGGATTTAATTACTAAGAAAGAAGAGAGCGCATACTGGATTACATTTGGCAGTCTTTAGTCCATATGGCTAGGCTGCAGATGGGAAGAAGAAGAGAAATGAGGCTCGAGGAGTTGCGGGGACCAGATCCTGTGCATGTCTGTGCCTAGGAGCTTGAAACAATGTGGTACTTTAAGTACCAGGATGATTCAGGCTGCCTTGTGGAGAACTAGTCTGGAAAGGGATCAGACTGAACCCAAGGAAACCAAACCAGGTAAGAGCTCTTTTGTAATCTAAGTTAGAGATTTGGTGACTTTATGAATGGTAGCAATGAATAAATGGGATGAAGTGGACAATTTTGAGAGCTATCTAGGAGACAGAATGAACAGATTTAGAGACTTGGTGGCTATGGCTAGAGGATTGTTGTTGTTGTTGTTGTTATGTGCCGTCGAGTGGTTTGCGACTCATAGCGACCCTATGTACAACAGCCCTAAACCCTGCTCTATTCTGTGCCAATCGCATTGCCTCTGACACACGCATCCCGATTACCCCAGTTGCTGATTCAGTCCACCTCATAGAGGGTCTTCCCCTCCTGCGCTGTCCCTCCACCCTACCAAGCATG